GGATGGCAGAACCCACTTAGAGCAGGCAGGTTTTGGGGCTTCAGGGGTTTCCCTCTCCCCCTGTCCTCTAACAGATTTGCTGTTCTGGAACAGATTTGGGGAGCCCCGTAACACCATCAACCAGAGGGCCCTTCAGATTTGGCCAGTGCTCAGACACTCCATTCTTCATAGAATGAAAGCACTGAGGGCCTAGGGAGGGGCAGACTAAATGGAAAGCAAGGGAAGGCCTCCTGCAGGGAGTGGGGAGGAAATGCTTGCTTGGGGACAATGAAAGGTCAATCAGGTCACTGCGAGTGGTCACTGGGAGGGGAGGGTAGAACTGGCTGGACTTATAACAACGAACCCCACATGAGGAAAAGTGAGGCTCAGAGGTGCTACGTTGGCCAAGGGTATTGATGGAGTAACCAGAACTTGCAGGCCTCAGGCTCCTGCTACTTTGTGGGAAGTGGGTGTTCTGGGAGCAGGAAGTGTCTCCTGTTTGCTTACCCGGCACACATACTGGCTCTGGGGTCCTGGTGAGAAGGTCTTAGAGCGGATGATGGTGCTTCCTCGAAGAAATGGCCCTGGGGATGGTGCACCCACCCGCCGGTCCTTGGGCCGCACCACTGTGGGAGACGGGGTCTCTGTGTTGGTCTCTTTGTCCACCTGAGGAAGAAGTCACAGCTTTGAGACTCATAATCTACAGAATGCCAGTCTTTTTTCCTGAGACTCTTGGGACAAGCCTCTCCAGCCACCTCCCCTTAGGCTGAGGGAGAGTTTTTCTGGGAGGGGCTGCAGAAAATCTTTGTGTGGGAATTAATTTGATAAGTAGCCAGTAAATTAGTGGATTGTTCATATGATGGAGGTAAGTCTTGAATTTCAGGGACTTAGCTTCAGTGTAGCCCCAAGGCCCTGAGCGCTGGCCCACCTTCCTCCATGATACCTCCATGAATTCATTCAGTCCCCAAGTAAGCTCAGGTGACTCAGGCATTGCTGACCTGCCTCTCCAGACTGGTGTGTGGAGCACATTCTGGGAGCACCACGCCCAAGGCCTCCAGGCTACGCCAGGCAAAACCACAGGTCTTTTGTGGAGTTACTGAGACAACAAGCAAGTCTGGCTTTTCAAACTTAGTCATCAAGTTTCCTACCATCCTCTTACATGTTAGCCAATAAGAGAAGCAGAGAAACCACCTCTGTCAATGCAGGGCTTCTATCAGCTCAACCAATGCCTTTTGGTAATTTTGAAAAAGGTGCTCACTTTGGCTAGACAAATTGCCAACAGTCTTCTCCAGTCCCCACCTGCCCCTTGGCCACACACGTCTGTGCACTGTACAACCTGAAGCCCCAGCCTGGTGTGTGAGGGCTCTGTGTCTACATGAAAGCTGCTCTGTTTCCGAGGGTCCTGCAGGTACTGGGCATGGAGACCTCTCAGGAAGTGATCAGGGTGGTGCCTAGGAAAAGGGGAAGTCCCAGGGAACCTGGGACAGGGCACCACCCTGTTACAGATCCCGTGTCAGGCTGGCAGTATGTGAGCACGCCCAGCTGCTCACTCTTTTTCTATGGCACTTTGGGCAGACCCAAATGAAGAGACACATTCCATCAGAACTCCAGAAGCCATCTGCAAGGGGGGCCTGACTGTCCATTTTAGAGATGAGGACACGGAGGCTTGAAGGATGATGAGGTAGGTTCTCTGCCCAAAGAACACACAGCTAGGGTGGCGCAAAACAAGGATTTGAGCCCAGACCCACCTGGCTGTAAAGGCTGAGGTCTGTCAGAGAAGTGGGAACTGCAGTAGGGCAAGAGTGACAAGGGGGTGAGCCAGTCTCTCCTGTTTTACTGTCACCGAAATGACTCAAAGCACAGGCAGGAACACTCCTATACAACCTTCTGCAGGCCACCCCATTCCAAAGGTCTGGCCCCGATGCCAAAATGAGACTCAGCTCCAGATTTTTCTGTTTGGCTGTAGGACTGTTTCCCCAAGACAGCCCCACCCTTCTTTCAGGCTCCCCTACCTTTAAGGCCTGACACTTGTCCATGTCTGGTGAGTCTTTCTCAATGAAAATATTCTCTTCTTCCTCCTCCTCCTCCTCTTCCTCCTCCTCCTCCTCTTCTCCCTCCTCTTGAGCCACCATCTCGTTCTCAGCGGTCTCCTTGTACCTCCTGGGATGACAACATGCTTTGGTTACCCACCAATAGGCCACTATGCGCTGCACACCTCTCTCCAAAAGTGGATCCAAGTCTTTCCAGGATTGAGGACATAGTTTTGGGAGGAATTTTTGCAGTTTGGGGACATTCCCTCGCCCTGCCAATTTGCAGCAAGTGCTGGGGCAGGGGGCCAATATACAAACTCAAAGCATCTGTGTCAGGGAAAGGCAGTAGTGAGTTTCAAAATCTCTAACTGATGTTAGCAATGACTCAGACCCAGGTGGGGAAGCCCTCAGCTGGGAGGAAGTCCCGGGGTCCCCAAGGAGAGGACAAGGATCATGATGGATGAGTCAGGGATTGGGGCTAAGGCTGTTCACCAGGGAGTGGGTAATTTCAGCCTCTCCCAGCAGCTCTACCACTAGGAATGCTGGCCCCGTGGGAGGGGAGGACTGGGCCATCTCCTTGTTCTTGGGGGCTGTGTTGCCTTGCTTTCACATGATGGGTCTCCCTAACCCCTCTCCAGCTGCTCTTTGCTCTTTTGTGTAGGAGAACTGGGGTATAGGGTGGAGGAGTGAAGGATGAGAGGATTCACCAGAGAAAGAGTGGGGAGCAGAACAGGTGGATTGACTGAAATACACTGCTGAGGGTAGCAGTGGGTGAGCCAGGAGAGGTTTGCTGTGCACTGAGGGGGTCATTTCCCTGGCCAGGTATAGAAATCAAGCCATAAGCCCCAGGTCACCAGGGCGACCCTGTTTCTATTTCTTAACAATTTTAAGAATAAAGTTATAACATTCACATAAGTCTGTGTAGATACAGGTTTTCATTTTCCTTGAAGACCGTGTTTGTTGACTAGTGCTGCAGAACACAGCACCAAAAAAGAGGTGGCTGCAACAAGAGAAAGAAGGTGTGGGCAGACCTGATGGCTTCTGAGGCCTCACTATGGCTTCTAGATGACCTTCTCCTTGCTGTGTTCTCACATAGCTGTCCTCTGTGCACGTCCCTGGTGTCCCTGTGTCTCCAAATTTGCTCATCTTAAAAATATCACTTATACTGGATGAGGGCCCACTCGGACTTTAATGATTTCATGCTAATTTAATCACTTTAAAAGTCTTTACTCTGATACTGGGCGTGGGGCGTCAGGGCTTCAACATATGAATATGGGGGGGAGGGGGAACGTCACAATTCAGACCTTAATAGATGGCTACCTAACAGTAGAATAGTTGTAAGCATATTTTATCCTTTTACAAGGTGGACACACTGGCTTCTAACATGGTTATGCCATGTGGGCTGTGATGAGGATGTGATGAGAATTCCAGCTTCTTCTCTACACTTGCTGTGGACCTTAAATGTAGTCACTCTACCAGATATGACTCATATCTCATTGTGGCTTTAATTTGTACTTTCCTGCTCAGAATCTTTCCATGTACTTACTGGCCATTTACATGTTTTATTTTGCAAGGTGTCTGCTAGAATTTTTAGCGTATTTATTAGCCCTGGATTCCTAATCACTTCATTACTGAATTTTATGAGTTCATTATAAATTCTGCACATGAATTCTTTGCATATATTTTCTCCAAGTCTGTCACTCACCTTTTCCTTTTCTAAATGGCATCTTCCAAAGGCCATGACAAAATGGTGACAAAATGCAATTTACCAAATTTTTCATTTACAATGTGTGCTTTTCATGTCCTACCCAAGAGAGCTTTGCTTGCTCCAGGCTGCAAAGAACTGCTCCCAAATTGTGTAGTGTTAATTTTTATGTTTAGCTTTAGGATCCATTTTCAGATTAAAGAGCTTAGTTTACTTTTTTCCACATGGCTATCCATTTGTTCGTTGAAGAGACTTTACTTTGGATGATGTTCTTTATAATTATCCTTTCCCCTTGACTCCAGGGTTGAAAGGGCTAACTTGGACTGACAAATGGACTGAATTTGTTAATCAGTCACTTGTCTGTATTTCCATCTTCACTTCCCAAAGACGTACATCACTGCCAGGTTGTTGAGTAGCACTAGATAGCATCACCACTGAGTTGAAGAAATTCTGGCCAAAAGCAGAGACTGTGACATCAATTTCTCAGGCTCAGTGAGGCTGGATAAACAAACTCTCCCTTAGGATTTTTCCCAGTTGGAGACCAGCCCCTTGACAAAACGTTCCCTGCACTTAGACAGTCTGACTGCTCTGCAGGGGCCTTTGTTCTCCCCCATGGCCCTTGCAGTCTCTCTGTCTACTCATAAAAAAGGCATTAAATGTGGAAACCCTCGGGGAACACCTCCCTAAGAACTCTGCAGATGCCACATGAACCAGCACTCACTGAGGCCCTAATAAGCTCCAGGTGCCTTGCTCAGGCCTCACAACAGTGCAGAAAGTGATTATTGTCTCCTCTTCACAGACTCAAAAACCAAAAAGCAGAGGGTTGACAGGCCTCATCCAGTGTCACAGACACTAAGTGCTGGAACCAGAGCTTCTACCGAGCTCATCCAACTCTCTGAGGTGTTCAACTGCTATGAAGTCAGGCACTCAAGCGCTCACTGTTTGGACTGTGAATCTGATCTAATTATTTCAGGAAAGAGGAAAGAAAGCTTAATTTTGAAGAGGAAAATTGTTAAAAGAGACATTTTTCACTTGTTGGAGTGGCAAATGTATGTACCTAGAGAGACAGACATATATTGTATATCAATCCCTCTATAGAGCAGATATGTGATAGCCATTCTTAGGCTACATGTGTTATATACACGTGTGTATCTCTCAATCTATACATCTGATTTAGCCCCGGATTGCTGATGAAGGTACAAGCATAGGCATATCCCTGAGGGGAGTATAAATAAGAACAGCCCAAATTACACTCTGAAGGTAATTCAGCCATATTGGCTAAAGTTTATAAAGTACACATTCTTGCTGAAGTACTCTAGCTGGATTCTATTGAATGTTGGAGATGGAATGGGTTTGAGGGAATGCTTGTCGCTGCTGATGAGAGCAGTGACTGGCAGCATCTGCATCGTCTACTACAGTGCCCCTCTCAACCTGTGCCCTCGACAATTACACTCAAGTTCCCAAGGAGGCAAATGTGAAGATTTACCTTCCAGCCTTGTTTGTGATTATAGTGTCCTATATTTTCTAATACTCATAGTTTTGCTTTGCTTGTGGATCTTTAAAAAGCAAAATACAACAAAAACCCAGTCTTCTGATCATAAGCATTAAAGAATCCTAAACCAATGAAAGGTGGAGGAATAATGGTGCTGTGAGCCTTGGGTGCTGAGGGGAGCAGTGTAAATTAGAATCAAGGGCCAGTCTTTTGGAGACCTCCACACAGGACTCCAGCACTAAGCAGGCCTGGTGAGGCTAGTTAACATTCCAGGGCCAAAAGAAGCCTTCAGCCTGGGGGAGGGGGCTGCAGATGGATTTAACCCAATACAGCAGCTCTGGGATTCCCAGCTCTCTTTGTAAGTCAGTGTCTAGGGAAGTCTGAATGGCAAGGGATGGGGGGGTGGGGGGGTGGAGAGAGGGCCACAAAGGGAGAGAGAACATAGGGCGGTTGCTAGGAGATGGCGTGAAAAGTCTCAACATAAGCTTGGAATTTGGCGGAAACCACTGATCTTGTGCCAGATTTTGGAAGATAGGTCCTGGGCCTATTTCCGGCATCGGACCTTTTGCCTGTGTGAATCACAGCCTAGCTCAGCCCAGCAGTGTATCAGAGAGAGGGAGAGAGAAGGCAGGAGGGAAGGAGCAGGAAGGAGGGAGAGAGAGAAGGGGGAAAGATGGAAGAAGGAGTGAGAGTTAGAAGAAACAGTAGGAGGGAAAAGGGGGAAGCAGAAAGAGTTGGGGATGAGAGATAGGGAGAGAGGGCTATGGGGGAGAGAGAAAAGAGAGGGAGAAAAGAAGAGGAGATAGAGAAAAGATACAGAGGGAGAGGGCGGGGTGGGGAAGATCTACAGAAATGGTGACAATTTTGAGAGTACCCTAAAACAAATGAATGCAAAAACGCTGGAACCTTGCCACCCCCTATATCACATAGAGGGATAAATATTAAAGTGGTCAATCTATTGGGTGAATCAGCCACTGCCTGTTCTTGGGCAGTTCAAGTTATGACGGGTTTGTTGTTGGTGGTGGTGGTGGGGGATACAAATGAAGAATGCTATTTCATGAACTGAGCACATGAAACAATTTCAGTGTTGGGACCAAAGTGGTATCTAGCACAACAAACCCGAGTAGACGCAGCAGAATTCCTGGGACCCACGACACAGCCACATTGACCATCTGGTCCTTTCCAGAAAATACTTGCTGACCCCTGACCCCTTCAGGCAAAGCTACTAAGGCAAGACCCCCTTCTGAGACCATTTATATCACTTGTGAGCAGGAATAAATAAGAAGAGTTAATGAGTATTTCCTGGGGTTCAGGGTCTGTGATAAGTACTTATCACGCACCATTTTATGAAACCTATAAAATGTCCATGAAGCAGAGGGTGTTTTTTCAAATTTTTACTTTATAGAGAGGAGGTGGAAGATTCGAGCCATGGTCCTCAGTTAGGTCTGTGTATTAGACTCACCCAGGGAGATTAGTTTAACATTGAGTGATGCAGGTTTATCCAGAGCCAGATTCCCCCCTGGAAGCCAGTTGGCCAGATTCTGAATGCCATACCTATTTGAATTCGGAGCACGAAACTGGACAAGATTTCCTGCTGAAGGGCAAGGTTCTGACAGTGGTCATTTCCAGGGGGATCCACCCCTTCCCTCCGCAGCAGGCACTCTGTGATGTTCCTTCTTGTCTTGCTAATAATTTCTACCACCTCTTCAGTGTTTACTGCGAGCCTTACACTTGCTCTTCAGAAGTGGCTCTTTTGGTCTGCCTTTTCCCATAACCTCAGGCTGTTGATGTGATGTCCCCAATTTTCAGCTGAGATACAGACAAGATTAGAAAGACAGTATTTGCCAGATGATACCCCTGAGGGAAAGGAGAGTGACTCTGAGGAAGCACAATGTGGCTTCCCGAGTGTGGGTATTGCTTGGCTTCCTGATTTGGGTGCTTGGTTTCTAAAAACTCCATGAGCTGTATGCTTAGGTTAACTTTATTATATTTAGGTTTTTTTTATGTCTTCCTCAGTTTTTTTTTAAATAATATAATAGTTTATTTTTACATCCTTTTGTGCCTCTTTCCATCTCATTTGTAATCCCTGTGGACTTCCCATCACCAAATTATTGTATGTAGGTTTTAAATGCAACAAAAAGTTAAACATACTTTGTCTAGGTCATATAAAAAGGAGGATTTGAACCCTGCATCACTGCTTCCTGAAATGGGTGATGAGGCCTTTCTGAGAGCCGATAAGGGACCAAAGAGCACCGACTGGCCTTTCCCTTCAGATCTCCTGCAGACCCCCTAGCCGCAGCAAGAAGTCTCTCTGTGGCAGTAGTGTCCCTCTGATGTGGCCGAAACACTCGCTCATCTTCCTGTTTAGCAACAGGAGAGACTCCAGTGTCTAAACCGTAGCAAGTAACATATCTGCCTAGACTTTGATATGCTTGCTTTATGTTCACAGTTACCGTTGGAGGCTGACTTGGTTCATGGTCTATCCCATATCCATGCCCACTTTCTTCCTTGGCAACAGTGCCTAACTCATTGGCCTCATTCCTAATCTCCCTGGCCACAGGGGAGCCACGTGGCTGAGCATGGCCAAGCAGAATCAAATAGAAATTGGTGGGTGAGACTTTCAAGATGACATCTTGATTAAAAGGCACGTAGGCACACTCTTTTAGTTTTCCTCATCCTTAATGTGGTCCTGATGCTGATGACTCAGCAGCCATTTTGGGCTATAAAGAGTTTTGGGGATGGATGTCACACAGTAAAGACTGCTAGCAAAGCACAAAGAGGGACACTTGGGTTCCCATGAACACATGAAGCTGACAGATGAAACTTGGCTTGCCTCCTCCTGTTCTTATTTTTAAGTAGCAAAAAAACTTCCACCGTAGTTAATGTATTCTGTTCTGTTTCTAGTAGTCAAATATGATTCCTCACTGAAGAATATCCAATTTATAACAAATTATGCTTATTATCCATTTATAATATAAAATTTTCCTAAAGTTTTTAAACCAAATCAATAGAAAGTCCATGAAGAAAACACTAGTATTAGATGTGAACTGCCACGAGTGATTCAGGGAACATAAAATGACAACCCAGAAAGGAATCTGGGGCAGCACAGTGTGGGCTATATATTGCCTGATGCCTGTAGAGAAGCCGTAGAAGAGTGACTCTCAGTTCTCAGGGGAAGCTTTCCTTTAGTTGCTGTGGTGTTTGGGGATCTCACCCCTGGGCTCAGGTCCAAACCAGGTGAATTCCTGAGGCCCAAGGGAGTCCTCACTTACCAGCTGTCTTCCAGGGTCTGGACACTGTTTCTTCCTTCCTGCCGCTTCTCCAGCTCCACAGCTGTCTGTTCCAACAGAGCCGACACGGCATCCTGTGGAGACAAAGACAAGATGGGATCACTGGTGCCACACTGGACAGCCCCACCTGGAAGCATGATCCTTAGTTCTTCTCCCTGGCAGGTCTCCTGGGAATAACCCTTATGTTCAGGGACAGAGTTTTGGAAGACAACACTGAGTGGGAAAATTCTGTGTCACTGTAAGAGGATGACTGTGTTGTCAGGGAGACTGCCACCTGAACCATCAATAACAAAACAATGTGATAAGGCCTGTACCAGAGGTAAGTAGTGGATGTTTGGGAACAAAGGAACAAGGCTTGAAGGACTGCATTCAGGGAAGGCTTCCTAGAGGAATAGAATATCTGAGCCTTGTCTACAGGGAGGAAATCTGAGCATGTTATTTCCTTTAAAAGCTATTAGAGGCCCTCCCTGGTGGCGCGGC